CAGCTGGGATTACAGGCACTTGCCACTGTGCCCAGCTATTTTCATTTTTTGTAGAGATGAGATCTCACTATGTTGCCCAGGCTGGTCTTCAACTCCTGTGCTCAAGAGCTCCTCCCACCTCAGCCTCCTGAAGTGTGGAGATCACAGGCGTGAGCCACCAGACCTGGTCTGCTCTACTCCTTAGTGGTGTTTTGGTTTGGATTCATTTACTTATTTAACAAAGATTTCTTGAAAGCGTCTAATACTTTACGTACTGTTGTAAGTGACAGAACTGCAGAAGTGAACAAACCAGAAAAACAGACAGCAAACAATCAATGAAATCTATATTCTGTAGGATTATGCTAGGTACCGTGGAAAAGAACAGAAGAGGAAAGGAAGGTAAGGAGCCACAGGAGAGGGAGTAAAGGAGAATGACTGTTTTAAACAGGGTTGTAAGGAAAGACTTCATGGAGAAGAGCCCCCAGGAAGAGTACAGATTGCAGATCAATTAAATAGAGCCCCCAGGAAGAGTACAGATTGCAGATCAATTAACAGGCAACTGGGGGAAGAGCATTCTGGGCAGAGGGACCAGCCAGTACAAAGGCGCAGAGGTGAGAGCACGGAGCATGTTTCGGCAACAGCCCAGAGCAAGTGCGGCTGGAGCAGTGATGAGGGGCAAGGTTAGAAAATGAGGTCACAGAGGATGATCAAAGATGCAGGTATGTCATTCTTCAATTGCATAATTCAATTCTGCATGTAAGACACATTCCTATGTGCCAGAGACAAAACTATGTTCTGGGGAGACATCTAAAAAATAAAATAAAACTACAAGCAACCACAGAAAATGGTCAAGCATGAACGTGCTCAAGCAGTCTGGTTAAAATGTGATGTTTTCAAGCCTCTTCTGCTAGATTCAAGCAATAGATGACCTAACAACTGCATACGAATGATTGAGAGTTTTCAAATTTAGGCATGGTCTTTTAACTTGAGTATATGTCAAAATCCAACATAAAGCAATTAACAAAAAATACTAACATAAGAGTAAATACAATAGGAAATTTTACAAGAAAACTATAAAGAAGCATGATGTTATAGCCACCCGTGTTCCCAGACCTGTCACTCGGGGACATTTGGTGGGACTTACAGACTTGGGGGAACAGTTCTGTGGCAAATGCATGTTACCCACAGACAGCTCCAAAAAAAGGCCTGTGTTTCTTTCCCTTTGCTGTTTTCTCTCCTCTCCCCACCCCCATCCCCACCCCCACCCCAGAACGGAACACTGAAGGATCTGAGAAAAAAGCCATGCAGCTCATCAAGATCAAGGCAGGCATTACATTTCAAGTTGAAGTTCAAAACAGCTTGCTTTTTGCTGAGACTTCTCACTTCCTGAAATCAGATGGCGCCTTTCAGTACTTCAGTGTGCTGAGTCACGAGCAAGCTTCACGCTTGTCCTTTCATTTAAGGTCAAGCTGAGAACTCAGTTTTTCCATGGTAAAGCGGACACAAGGACCAAGCTGAGAGCACCTTCGGAAGAGGTTCCCGTGAAGTGTCAAGACTTAGAACAAAAAGACCACTTTTTGATTTTCTCTCCTTGCTTTATTTTACCTGGAGAAAATTTGACAACCCATAAGTAATTTTTTTTAAACTCTACCCATAATCTTTATAAAGTATCTATCACCCACATCTGCCTAATGACCGTATTGTTTATTTTAGGCTTTTGTTTATCTATTTTGTATCCTCAAAGGCCCTACATGACAAAGATATTAGAAATTCCAGCCCTCCAGGGAGCCATACAGATCCAAGCCCTAGAAGCTGTTGCCCATGGGCTCAGTCTAGCTAGCAGATAGGTTTTGGTGAATTACTTATCAACCATAAAAATTGGACAACTGGCTGGGCTCAGTGGCTCAGCCTGTAATCCCGCGCTTTGGGAGGCCAAGGTGAGTGAATTGCCTGAGCCCATGGGTTCGAGACCCACCTGGGCAACTTGGCGAGACCTCATCTCTACAATAAATTTAAAAAAAATTAGCTGGGCATGGTAGCGCGCCTGTAGTTCCAGCTACTTGGAAGGCTGAGGCGGAAGGATCGCGGGAGCCCAGCAGGTTGAGGTTCGGTGGCCGGGTGCACTCCAGTCTGGGCGACAGAGTGAGACTCCAACTCAAAAAAAAAAAAAAATTGGACAATTTCACATAAAAATCCAAAATTGGTGATACTCTTGAAAACATGAAAGATTTGCCAACACTGAACCAAAATTCCTGGTAGGAACAGTTGGCATGACACTTCAGCCAGAACTGGAGACAGCATGGGAGCTGGGAACATGTACATATTCCCTGCATCGTCCCACCACATTCCACCCTAGTGGTGCCCATCCCTGTGAGCGTGTACCTGAGACCCTCATCTAGTCCAACCACTTGAATGGACAGATGAGAAAAATGAGGTTCAGAAAAATGAGGTTCAGAGAAAAATGAGGTTCACCCAATTAGGTAAAATCTGGGCTGGAGCCAGAATTGTGATCTCCTTCCCGAGATGCCCCCATTCCTGGAGCTCCAGTTGTAAAAGACATTGGGCCACATTGAAGCAATGTCTCAGATGAATTTAACTCTGAAGTTATTTTAATTATAAATCATCACTGGAAACTAATAACGAAGGCATCAAAGCTATGATACGGGTATAGACCAGGAGGACTGGGGAAAAGTACAACTAGGAGAGAGAACATTTCCTGAGGGATTTTAAATGTAAGTAATCTATATTTAAAAGATCATGATTTTAGTGAGTCACAGAGTGGGGTAATGAAAAGCTGAATAAAAATCACATCCTAATTTAGGTATACTGAATAAATTAGAAACTATTTCTTGGACTTTTCTTTTTACTTCTTTCTTTCTTTCTTTTTCCCTTGAATCAGGGGCTTCACTCTGTTGTCCAGGCAGGAGTGCAGTGGCATGATCACAGTTTACCACATCCTCAACCTCCTGGGCTCAGGCAATCCTTCTGCCTCAGCCTCCCGAGTAGCTGGAGACTACAGGTGCATGCCAACATGCCCGGCTCATTTCTTGATTTTTGTAGAGACGAGGTCTCGCTGTGTTGCCCAGGCTGGTCTGAACTCCTGGGATCAAGCAATCCTCTGACCTTGGCCTCTCAAAGTGCAGGAATTATAGGTGTGAGCCACCACACCCAGCCCAGACTTTTCTTTTAGGAGCTTTTTTAATGCAAGAATTGCCCATCTATCTTTCATTAATTCATGGTAGTCCATTTAATGAAAACAAATGGGTAATTATAGAGGCCCTTCAAAGTTACTTATGACCAATGATATTATTTTCCTCATAAGGTAAACTTATGGGTCCTCTGAAAAATTGTGTTTTCACGGGTATATGTATTCTAAATGTATGCATAATACAAAAATATGCTGGTACTGATGACCCTGATGTTGATTTTTTTTTTCTTACTGTATCAATTCAGAATAGAAATCAATGTTATCCTACATTAATTTTCCTCTGTGCTACTGGCACATAGTTATAATTCCATCCTGCTCCCCAAGAAGCTCCAATTCCACCTGCTTCATTCCCAGTTACTCATCACCCAGAATATTCCTGTGAAAAAGAAAGTTAGAAAATGATCTGCCAGGCCTTCCCCCCAAAAGAAAAAAGTACTAACCAGATCATAGCATCACTGTCATTGATGGGACAAGTGAAGCGTGCTTCGTGATTTGCGGTTCCACAGCTCTATCCAGTGAAGCCAGGGAAATGAGAGGCTGTACTTCTTACACCATTCACGGCCATTTAAACCTGTAGAACGGTGAGAGAGTCTAAGACAGTCGAAGCACAATGCTGTTCAGTAATGCTGTGATGCCACTGGAAATTGCAGTTACTAAAATTAAACTGACACTTGGCAGAAATTTGCATAACACCTTCCATCACAGTCTTATGACAGACAGAAATGTCTGAGTGTCTGCGTGACACAGGCAACACTGAGAACGGAGCTACACATCGTAAAGGGACCGGTGTCTGAGGTCACACAGAGAAAGTTCGAGAGGTATTGGAAACCCACAATCACAAAAATGCCACCGTCTCCCATTCCTTCATAGGGATCCAGAAATCACTGCTTAAGCTCAAACTCCAAACTTCTCTTTGCCTTCTGTCTTTGTTTCTTCACCAGAGAGGAGTGGAAGAGTTCAGTATATGGGAGGGGAAAAAAATGAAGGTTCTATTTTATCATCTGCCAGAATGAGTTTTCTCCCTCTTCTCCCCACCAGCCTCAGGATCAAGGTGAACTCCTTAGGAGCTAAGAGGCAGTGCTTCTTAATTGGCAGACTTACTTTTAAGGCAGTGGGAAGACTCCTCTCCCCTGGGGCCCAGATTCCTGCCTCTGTTCTGGCAGTGTTTTGTTTTAACCTAAAGCATATGTCAGCTTCCTCACTACACATCTCATGAGTCCAATGCAACTAAAGGGTTAAACAAATTCCTTGGAGACAGGACCAAGGAAGACTCCTGGAGCTGTGCAGGTGCAGAATTACAGCCTGCCACTGCTCATCAGGCCACAGATTCCCGAGTCCCTGCACAAGGTCCTTTAGACAGAAACGTTTGGGTCTTCTTCTTTTGCCATTAAAAAAAAAATGAATAAAAGAAATGAAAAAAATTTTCTGCTCTCTCAGCATAGAACTGAGCATACAGTAGGTGACCTCAGTAAATATTTGTTGAAATGTCCACACAGTTTTAAAAGATTGTATTCGAGTTCTTTCCCACCCAGTCAGATTTAAGTGTTCTCAGTCTCTAGATGGCCATTGTAGGGCCAGACCATCTGACATAAAACAAAAGGACCATGTCCCCTGGTGGGAGGCAGGCCAAAGCTCTGCATTGCAATAGAGTCACCTTATTCAATGGCATTAATTTGTACAGTTTGGAAGTCCACGAAGAATGAAATTGGTAAACACATACAAAGCAATCAAGCAAAATGAAAATGAAGGGAAGTTTATATTTTCTTAGCCAATAGAGGGAAAGGCCAAGGTACATAAGGCATACACAGCAAAATACTTTGTTCTTTCTTTTTTATTTAGTCACAACACATCAGTACAACAGAGGTCAAACCCAGTTCAGTGGAGGTCATTTAAACTATACCTGCTAAAGGAATAAATCTGTAAAATGATACTTTTATAGCCTGAATCAAATTAAATAAATCAAAGAAGAAGGCAGCAAAGCCCTTTTAAATGCCCCAAAAAGGAAAACTCAACATGAAAATTTCCAGTTAAAAGAAAGATGGCAGTTCCAGGAAGATTAGGTTATGCATTTAACAGGTTCCACTGTACTATGCAGTTGACCACTGTCACACCATGATCACTTATCCATGTTAACATCTGTGAATTTGAGATCCATGAGATCAAAAATTCACTGCATTGCTGGGGCTGGTAAATGCAGGTATGCTCTATGCATTTATGGTCAGTTTCCTCTCCACCAATACTCCAAATGGGACCTAACCTACCAATGGCGCTCTCCTAACTAAGTCAGAACTGCCAATCCTGACAGACAACAGCAGTTGGTCACAGGGATTCAGGGCCACAGACAATTTGTACATTCACCTGACTGCTATAAGAGGCAGAGAATTTACTAGTCTTCTTTCTTGGATAAAGCTGATCATCTGATTTGTCAACGCTTTGTTCAGAAATATAAAATTCAATATAGTCTCCCCTCCCCCAAAAAAGAATATTATTTATACAACACCTTAATCTGTCAAAATATTAAGAAACAGAATCATGTTAACACTGAGCATAGTGGTTTGGAAAATTAATTCTACAAACAGACCATGAACTATACAAGGAGGAAAAACAGACTAAAAATACTAAATGTTAAGATTCCCAAAACTTTGGGGCAAAAAAAATGGAACCATCCTGGTTTACAAAGTAAATTAGGTACAGTACAAACCCATCACAAAGTGTTGGTTTATACTCACTATTTCAATGTAATGTTTTGAACAAAATTTAACAACTAGTTTTTAAAAACTGCTAATACAGGACATGATTAAAAAAAAACATTAAAAAAGAAAAAAGTCAACCAACAAACCTTCAGTCTTAAAAATTTTTTTCATCGGAAAGGGTACCTTTTTCCTTTTTACTTTTACTGACGACTTTAAGGTGATGTTGGCAACAGTCCAGCCCAGCTGGGATTTTTTAAGCTTTCCCCTCCCTCGTCCTATAACATCAGTCCTTTAAAAAGCTCCGATCTCCGTCCCCCAAGGTCTATAGGGCTTGCCAAGGTGTGCTCCCTGTGTGGGCGCCGAAGGGCTCAGTGCATTGGGCGAGAGTAGGTGGAAGGACCCGAAGGAGAAGGGGAAGGCCGACAGGGAGGCCACCGAGGACAGCAGAGGCGGCGAGAGTTTGGAGGCGGAGGTGACCACCGGGAGCACCGGTCCGAGGCCGCCGCTAGGGGGCGCGCGGAGGGCGGGCGCCTCCGGATGCGCCGAGGCCAGCCTGCCCTGGTGGTGCGGTTCCGTGGGCGAGGCCGGGGTGCCGGTGTTCCCGTGGCCGCTCTGGGGCAGCAACAGCGGGTGCGCGACGTGCGGGTGGTGTCCGAAGGCGCTCCCCCAGGGGATGTGTCCGAGGCCCGCGTGGGCGCCGCTCGCGGCTTCCCGCTGGGAGGCGTAGTTGTTGAGATGCGAGACCAGCCGAACCCGGAGCGGGTCGGAGACATCCAGTCCTTCGATGATGCTCAGGTAACGGGCGACTTCGGCCAGGCATTCCCGGAACCCTAAACTCCGATAGTCCATGGCCAGGGCGTGCGCATCAAAATAGCCTGAGGAAAAGAAGAAAAGGAAAACCTCGGGGCTTTGCTCATTCCCCGCGTTCCTTCGATCCCAAAGGCGGCCCTTCCCGGCAGAAACTTGCATCCTTCAAACATGGCACTCACGGGTTCTTCCCAAAGTTCAAATATTTTGGAGCCGCTCAAAATCTTTGCATTCATCGACATGAGCAGAATGTGTTTGCTAATGCAAGTTCAAAGCCCAATTCGAAGCTGCCAGGCAGAAACTGGAATTATACCCTACCAGCAGATGAAAACTATGTTCATTCCTTTAATGTTTTCCCTCAACAACAACAAAAAATACATCAAGGACAGAGAAACCACAGAGCAGTGAAATTCATTAGACACACAGATGTAAGTTATCATCGTGGAGCTTTTAGGCACTCGGTCCTCAGTAAAGCATTTGCCTGCTGGAGACAGACAGACAGACCTTGGCCTCCTGTTAGGCTTTCTCTACTCAACCACAATAGGTTTCTTTCCTCAAGGGTCATGTGGCAGCTCGTTTTAAAAAAATCTTATGTACGAAATTAAGACCACATATTTTAAAAGAGGGGGGCTTTTTCTCAAAATATAAATGGACAAATGGGAGAACTACCTGGTCTGAATCAGAGCTGCCACAACTTTAGAGGACTTCACAAATCATAGGCACTTCCCAAAAGATGCACGAGCTTGGCGTGCAGAGGGTTAAGGGGATGAATTCACTGGAGAAAATTCTCTGTGCATTGGAAAATGTACTGACAGGCAACCGCACACACCACGCAACGTTCTCCCCACCCCCAAAGAAAAACCAGGCAGCCACTGCACCAATCCTGGCCTGCAGCCGCGGCTCACTCTCCCCCAAGCACTCAGGG